ATTTGAGGACTGTAACACAAAGATCTCGATGTCTGTGTACTCTTCCCATTTGTGATTTGTAACACATTCAAACACAACTTCTTCAACAACTCGGGTATCGTCACTTTTGCAATCTTCTCCAATTTGGCATACGCATGTGACACATTCCGATCTATCGCTTCATTCTCTTTCATCGCCTCAGCTTTGTCTTCAGGACTCATCAACTCATACTCGGGATGTGGCATCTTCGACAACTCAATCACACTGTTTTTACTGTGAGCGTCACAAACATGTGTGCCTGCCGATTCCAACATGAAGTCGCCACAGTGACAGAACTCAACACTGTTCCATACATGTTGATACAACAAATGATTCTTCTTCCGGTGATACTCGGCACATCGCGGACAAACTATGTACGGCGTCGCTTCACTCAACGAACAATCTAAACACTGAAATCCCTCCCCCTTCGGCGGTATCACCTCGTAACATCTCTTAGTGTTATTTATTATAATATAATTATAATATTTATTTATTATGAATATAATTTAACTATATAATATATTAACAATTATATATATTAATTTAGTATAATACAGTAGTATTTAAAATGATGTACTATTATTATATAATTATATAATCATTTAAAATTATAGTGTATTATTAATAGTTCTTGAAAGGTGAGCAAACGTCAGTAGTTTGGTATTTTAATAATGTTTCTATACCCAAATCATCAGTAAATAAAATATTATCCAAAAACGAATGTTTTTTAAGAACATTAAAAATATGATTTCTCAATGCGCCTTTGCCAATAGCAGTTTCAGATGACGTGTTTGTCAATTTTATTGTTTCCTCTTGAATAAGACAACTTCTCTTCACTCGTTCCACCATGATTTCAAGTTCTTTCAATCATTTACTCATTTGGTTGGTGTTTCTTTTTCCGCTTTAAAAACTGCACTCTTATTATTAACACTTTAAATAACAATGAACAAAATTCAAGTGGTCTAAAAATCGGGTAAATATCGAATTTATTAAATAAATTTCCGTTTTTTTAGAGATTATTTTTGTGCATAAACTATACACAAGCCAAAAAAAGGAAAATCATTACAAATTTGATTAATATCCCTATAAAAATAAGCCAAAACAAAAATCAGGGCGTATTTTAAGTGTTAATAAATTTATTTTGTTATTTTTTTGTGTTTTAATAAATTTTCGATTGTTTCATTTGTTTTGACCCGTCATACCGTGACGGACAATTCGATCACAAAGAAAAGCCAAAACTTCAAAACTCCAAAAAAGAGATGGAAATTGATCCGGAGCGCAAGACAGTCTTAAAGACGTTTCTTCAAAAGACCAAAACCCTTGAGACGAAGGATGTAGCTCTCACAAAAATCAAAGAGGAATTAGCGAGTGCCAAAGAACAGTTTACCCGGAATGAAGCGATACTTCTTTCCCTGCAAGCCATTGGGATGTCGATAGCAGAAGTTTTGAAGTGTTTGAGTGAAGACAAGTACATTGTTAAAGTGTCTATGGGCCCGCATTATGTTGTCGGGTGTCGTAACGCACTTGACAAGTCGAAGATCACGCAAGGCACCCGAGTAGCTCTCGACGTCTCGACGAACACGATCATGAAGATTCTTCCCCGAGAAGTTCATCCCGCGGTCTATTCGATGTCAGTTGAATCGCCTGGTTCAGTAGCTTATACGGACA